GATTCTGGGAATCATTCTCATTCTGAAGTGAGCACTGTCACTGGTTACACATTAGCACACTGCCTTATTTTTCCATAGTCCTGGAGAAAGGGGCTGTGTCACAGTGCACGGCAGAGGCTCACAGATCATATGCAGGGCTCTGTGTTAAGCTGCATGCTTCCTAGGGCTGCCATCTTTCATGTTTGTTGCTGCTAGCAAAGAGCATGCTAAACTAAAATATTTAATTTTTAAAAATTTTATTAGTTTTTTTCCCCTAGGCATAGATGAGGTAAACACAAAATAAAATAAAGGGTACTTTAGAATCTTATGCAGCAACTCTATATGCCATAAATAAGACCACATTGTATGTGGACATTCTGCTTCATCCAGTTTGTATGTGGGTAGTTTAAAATATACTAGAATGAGCAACATACACGTACCTTATTTGAAGCATCCTCTAGATATTGAGAAAATCACTAAATCTCAATCTTGCTTCAAATATATTTTCAAGTGACTACAATTTTGTAAGGAATTAGACAATACAATCCCACTTGCTAGAAACTGAAGTACCTAACCAGTGTCATACTTCATGACGTTTCATTTTAGAATGGCTTAATATTATAATTCTTATTCAGAAATGAGCTTTCGTGAAAAAAATCAATAATTACCTTTGTCTGTATTTATTTAATGAATCCACAGGAAGACTTCATTAAATTATAAATGCCTCATTACTGATGTTCTTAGAATAGATTTTCAAAATTATGGCATGAGGCAGTTATTAATTCCAAGCAAGATACAATACAGAGAGATCAGTACATGTCCACTGAAATGATTGCTGGTTTTACTAATGCAATATTCATGAGAATTTGCCGAGACAATCACATTTAATCCCGAAGAGTAAGGATTTGAAATGAATTCTTTTAAATTGTAATTGTCCATTGGCAAGAAATTTCAGTAAGTTTTATTTTTTTTTATATAATTGAAATAATTTTTCTATCCTGCTTATATTAGCTGAGTTTGGAGCATATTTACAGCTCTTGGACGGAAGAAATATTGGATTTACTAACTTTTCTTTATAGTAGTATTTTATAATATTTCACTATGCTAAATGCTTTTTCACAGTGACAGATGATCCTTTGCCTATCGCTTATATTTAGAGTAGACAATGAATTGTATAGGAGTTGTGGTTTGTACCAACTCTGGTAGCTTTCTTTTCTGCACTACCTGTTTCACAAAGTTTGGTTCCATGACGTATTGAAGCTACTCAGATTTGAGACAGCGTATTGTAATGCCCAAGACAGATGGACAATGTGTTTACAAACTAAGACGTTTTCAAGTGTCCCTGACCCTTGGTGTTTCATAATCACTTATTTAATACAAGCAATTAATCAAATATTGTAAAACCTGGGCATTTCTATGCTCTAGAAATTAAGCGTTTTATGTTTCACATTGCAGGAAAAGTTCATAATAAGTTGAAAGCACTTACTTATCTGTGAATTTGAGACATTATGCTTAAGATTTATTTTTATTATTTGTCTTATTTGTGTGCAGATTTTGTGACGTGTGTTCATGCCAAAGGGGGCAAAAACAAAGGGCATTTGATTTCCTGTAGCAGAGTTCTGGATGGTTATACATATGCTGACATTGGTACTAGGGACTGAACATGGACCCTTTGGAAAAGACCCAAATGCTTTTACCCAGTGCAATCTCTCCAATGACTGGGACTTTTATTTTTTTAACACTTTAACATGAAAATACATTTATTCACAAAATTTAGCTCTCCTTGATAATTGGAATTTCAGTAGAATATACTATTGTAGTCATCTTGTTAGAGAAGTGAGGAAAGTTGAGCATTTAATTTTTTTTTCCTGTCTCTTTTGTTATAAGAAACACATTTGTACCAGAAGAAAATCCTGACAAGTTAATGCTGGATTAACAAGTATTACTATGCATCAACTAGTTTGCCAGGGCTGCATCTAGGATGGAACTAGAATTTAAACCTGTCCTGAGGGGTTTTCACCCTAACTTCCGGGCATGTCCAGGGATGGTATTACCAGACTTCTGGTTCTTCTTAGATATCACAGAAGCCACTCTAGACAATAAAACTAACTTTAGCTGACTCAGTACAGTAATACTTGTGAGTTCTCTCAAAGCTGCTCAGTGATGTCTGCTTGCACCACACTGAGAGTCCACCTATGCTGGGAGAAGAATAAACTTGACTCCTCTTGTTTCCATAATTCAGTTTTCTTTCCTCCATGCATCCTCCAGGGATGAGGCAGAAAGAACAGAAGGGATAAGGAGCAGAAGGGATCTTGCTTCACTAATGCTGCCGTAGAACCATGTAGCTGAGAATATTCCTTTGAGTTGTTGAAGACTACTTTCTTTTTAAAAGCTCTTACTCATATCATTAGGAATCCTTCACCTAAGAGGCTGTCAAAATGGCTGAATATGTGAAAAGTGGAAAAAAGGCATTTCCACCAAGGATAATAGCCTGACTTTGATCGTTGGAATCTGCAGTATAGTAGGAAGAATCAACTTCTTTAAGTTGTCTTCTAATTTCCACAGTGTTTCTTGGATATGAATGTGAATGTGCGCATGAAGCCACATTCACAATAATAAGTAACTTTTCATTTTTTTGAAATTAAAAAAATATTGCATCATTCCTTGCCTTTACTTTCTCCTTCTGTCTCTCCCCATGCCTGCCCTACATTACTACCACCCCTTCTCAAATTCATTGCTTCCTTTTCTTAATTATTCTACATTAATAAATATATAACTATATCTTGTCCAATCTGTTTTGTGTTCCTTGTATTTATATGAGTTCCGGGGCCGACCACTTGCTATTAGATAACAAATTAGGATCTCATCTCTAAGGAAGATCATTTCTCCCACTTTTAGCATTCCTTAGTTTCCTGTAGTTCTTTGTTTATTATTGAGCATCCATGAGATTTGCCCCTTCCATGCTAGCATGTTTATATTGGTATTGTACTGGTAGGTCCTGTTTAAGCAGCCATACTGTTGATGTATACCAGAGGATGAAGCTTCCTTGTCCTTTCTAGGAGACACAGCCTCAAAGCAGATTCCCCAGTCCTGTAGGCAATTGTTCTTCCTTCATTTTAGCAAGATTTCTCTTGGCTCATTTTAACAAATTATTCAATGAAGTATTTATGCATACTTAACATAATTAAGTAAATATAAATATATTTGAGTATAAAAATAATTTTAGTACATAAGATTCCAGAGGACATTGTAAGAATCTCACCTAAGTCATATGATGATGCAGTTATCTGTGATTAACAAATATGTGGACAATACTGAAAGGGGAAGTGTGCTGGGGAGTGGCTGCAGATAGGCTGCTTATGCTTCAGAGGATGGCCTTACCACCAGGTAGAGATAGGCAGAACTAATTAGATCCAGTCAGTTTTTAAAATATAAAAATAATAAGACATGAATTTTGGTGGCGAAAAATTGGGAGGAGAGAAGTTGGGGAGGATGGAGAGGGAGCAAGCAAGAATAGATATGACAAATCAATTGTATACATGTTTAGAATTTTCAAAGAATGAATAAATAGCAAAATTTATATTAGACCATGAGCATTTGTCTAATTAATCAGCACATTAATGCTTTAAAAAGGAAGAAATGTAACATTTTAAACTCAAAGTGTTTTTATCACGCCTAAAATAAATCAAAACAAAAATGTAAAATCAAATTAAATAATAAGGGGCCTTTTATCTATAATAAATACAGGAGACAGAAAACTTTAATGCATTCAACAGTGTCACAATTATCATCTTGAAAACTTTCCTTTAGTCAATCTACTTTTATTCAAACGTTTTGTTTTTTGTTTTGTTTTTTTTTTAATATGAGATTTCCAATTATAATCCGATTGTATCAAGTTGCTGCCTAGTTTAATAGTGAGAACCCAGCAAAAGCCTAAAGGTATGTGGTCCAAACCTTCAGGCTTCTCATTTGTGATTTAAATTTTCTACAGCTACACATGGCTGCGTGTCCTTTAAAATCCTCGCCCCATGTCATTTCTCTCAGCTAAGGCTTGACGAAAGGGGAACCACAGACAGTATGGGCTGATGGACTCTGACAAGGGCCGGCAGTGCAGATATCCCGTGCTACTGATTAAGTGAAAATCCACATGCTCAAAAACATCAGTTCAGCTGATGATAGCAGCCCTGCTGCTAGAAAATGTGTCTCAGAGGTCGAGGACAGAGGCACATACATGCTTCTCTTGGCACCTTAGGTGATGGCATTCTGAAGTTAGCAGCCACAACTTTACCCTTAGAATGATTTTAATATTGCTTTGCATAATTGAGAGAGGAAGTTAATTTTACATAATTATGCTAGCTCCATTTTAGCTAATATGTAACCCAAAAATTAAGGAATCAGATTTTAGTTCCAGCTTGTCCTTGAGCAAGATATTGCAGCCTTGGTTATAGTTTAATCAAATGCAAGGTAAAGACAATGAGTGTGTCTTAAGCTGCTAATGTCTGGGTGGTCTGCAACTAATAACTAAGAAATCATTTTAGTGAATAACTATTTCTTAGCCCATCCCTGTGACAGAAATGTCTGGTTCTGTGAGTATCTGTCATTTGTCTCTAAAGAGACCCCATTGATTTGATTTCACTCTATTAAAAGGGAGCATCTCAAGTCTTGTTTCTCTTGTGAAATTGGGAGATTACATTAAAGCATTAAAAGGGTCAAATCAGAGGACAGGAGTGTGTTCACTCTCATGCAGGCAGCTGTGCACCTTCTCGGTGGCAGACTCTGAGAGGCAGGCAGTTCAGTTCCCTTGCAAGTGTGTTTTTCAGAATATCAATTATCCATGGAAGAAATGTCTCAGAATTACCCAAATGTCAAGATCTTGCTTCTATTGCAGCAGTTTTTCAGAAATAAAATGAAGAAAGCAGCTTTTGTCTAATGCATACTCTTGAACAATGCTTGCTATGTAATTCTTATCAAATGGCGACTAATCAATCGACTTAATCAGACCCTATTTCCCATCTTAACAGCACCAAGGAAAAATTGGAGTTAAGTTTAATGTTGGGACAGATGACATCGCCATTGAAGAGTCCAATGCAATCATTAATGATGGAAAATACCATGTAGTGCGTTTCACGAGGAGTGGTGGCAATGCCACGTTACAGGTGGACAGCTGGCCGGTCATCGAGCGCTACCCTGCAGGTAAGCAAGGGCTTATGGACCTGGGGACAGTTTTATGAAAAACAACTGGAAAAGCAAAGCAATGTTTGCGTTCGTTTCTTCAAATTGTGGCTTTTTTGAGAAACCATTGAGCATTTATTAGAATTTAGAGGCATATCAATGTAATGCTGTCCTAAACTGTTCTTGCTACTGTGTACAAATGGCATTTTATAGATGAACTTGAAGCTACACATTATTGTTTGCAAAATCCAGAACATCAGTGCACCAGAAAAATGCATACATAAAAAGCACAATATGTCAAAGCTTTGTACTCAATCCTTGCATCGAACAAAGGAAAGGCTTTGTCAAAAGTAACAGGTAAAATTTAAATCCAAGGGAAAGAATATTATAACACTTTTTTTTTTTCTTAGAGCAAATAAAGCTGTTTCTCTGACAATGGCATGCAACAAAGACTCATGAAACGTGCAGGAAAAACAGGAGTCAGGCAAAGAGGGAGCCAGGAATGAAATGACAAGAAACTCACAATTACAAGAAACACTATACCATAGATCTGCAACTAGGAGCAAAGGGAGTTCATTTTTATATAACCATAGTGATTCATGAGCACTCTGTGATGATAGTGTCACTCAGCTGAAGTCTGTAAAATGTTCTCTTTTTGTACAGCACCATTTATCACACAATGTAAATAAAAATATAAAACCGACCTACATTTCACATAATAAAACTGATAACAAAAATGCATGCAGAAGCAACTCCTTTGTTGGAATCATTGGCTTCTTAAAATAAATATTTTTATTAAATAATTTATCAATTAAACACTAGTTTTCTCTGGAACTGACCCATAATGAAGAGATGAAATGTCCTTGACACTTTTCTGAGCTTCTTCTAAATTCTATCATTCTCTGTTCTCAGCCTTAATGTGTTCTTCTGTTCTGCAAATATGTGATGAATTAAATATAACAAAATACACTTTCTTATGACAAGCTTTAAAAGCAAAAAATAAATAACATACCTGGGAATTATTGTAATACTGACAAGAGGCAAGCATTCAATAAATGTTTACCGAGTTGCTATCCTGGAAAATATCAAGGCTACCCTGAGCTGCAATAGAGAGCTGCAAGTCAGCTAGGGCTACATGTCTCAAATAAGAAAAAAAAAGAATGGAAGGAACGCAGGAAGGAGGGAGGGAGGGTAGGAGGAAATCAGAAAAAAAAGAAAGAAGGAAAGAAAGAAGATAGAGAAAGAAAGAAAGAAAGAAAGAAAGAAAGAAAGAAAGAAAGAAAGAAAGAAAGAAAAAGAAAGAAGGAAGGAAGCAGGAAGGATGAAAGAAAGGAGAACTAAAGAGAGACATTATAAATTACATTTAAAGATGGGAGGATGATAATGAATAATAATTAAGGAACGAATATTTAGAAATAGATATCATAGTTATAACATTTTATATCTAGACAGGTACTCTAGGTGTCCTTTCACTAAGGAGTTCTTTCATTAGTATTAATAAATGAAGAGTGAGCCAAGTTTCCATGATTATTGTGAAGGACACATGCAACAGCTGGCATATAAGGTATTATAGCACTCATGAAAAATTGCATTTATGGTATACATATGAAAATGTATAAGACAGTGCTATACACATAAAACACAAAATTCTGCATGTATTGCACCCATAATAACTTAATGTTGTAAAGAGCACAGACATCACCATTGTGTTATCTAAGTGTCCACTAATCTCCTCTGTGTGCACGTTAGCATGATGCTAATAAAGGAGAAAAGATGAGAAATTTAAACATCTTTCTTTCTTGGTAGTTTACCAGCAACAAAGCCATGAAGGTTGAATATAAATTTCAGTGTGAGTGATTTAGATTAAAGTTTTTAGAATAAAGTAATTTTAAATATGAGTTCAATATCACAGTCTAGTATATATCTTGTATATCAGCTTGTGGTTGGCTATTTTTATTTTAAAAGTTTAGGGAGGTTATTATTCATTAGAAAAGCTACTTAGACTAATGCTTTTACCACCAAATACTATAATCAGAGAAGCAGAAACGGAACCAACAGACTGTATTTGCTTCCTTTTAAAGTGCCTGCACTGCAAAATATAAGGGTTGAGATTAGTAATTAAGGACAGCACTTAACCTTCCATTATAGGGCTTTGTGGTAAGTGCTTTTATATGAAGTAATTTATCTGGTAGCAACACTATACCTTTAATGAAAAGCACCTAAAGCATTGACCAGTGGTGTTACCCTGTAATTGTCTGGAAGGCTTCCATAGAGAAAGTAATTAGCAGACGGAGATTTTATGCTCTTTTGGAGGGAATGCAATATTCCTACAACCCAACAATTCACATTTAAGAATAAATATTGAAATTTCTCAACAGCAAACCTCTTTTCAATTATTTTCTGTGCATGAAGCAAATTACAGAAATAATATTTTGCAAACCATTTAAAAATTGTTTCTTATTTTATGTCAGTTGAAGCTCTAGAATATAATGCATCATTAATCTCTGATTGGTTCCTAATTACAGTTATGTTACAAAAGTTCTCTCTCAACAAAATTAGACCTCTTCTCACATTATTCCACAAAGCGTTATATCATTTTGCTGCCTCCCAACTTAAGATTACTCTCAATAAATATTTACTTTGACTTTATTTGCTACCACAGTATGTGAAAATACCTTTTATATCTTTGCAAGGTTAAAGATTAATTTTATTTCAGTTAGCCTATACATTTATAAAGAATGTATATACTGCATACAAGAAACTTATTAGGATCATAGTTTGGCAACAAGACAATTTTTAAGAATTCAATTTTAAAGACATAGTACCTGTAGGAATATGACAATTATATCACATTTAGCTAAGAATACTTTCAAAAATAAAAAGTAACACAATGATCCAAGAAGGATAGATTATTTTTTAGTAAGTGGTGTAACAACATTTGGGTCTTTCAGGCATGCACTTTCAGGCATGCCCTCTCCCCTCCCCTCCCCTCCCCTCCCCTTCCCTCCCCTCCCCTTCCCTCCCCTCCCCTCCTCACCCCTCTACCTCTTGCCACCCATCAGTCTTTCCTCTCCACTTTTCTCCTCTTTTTCCTGTGCCTTCTCTTCTGATCCTTAGTTTCCCTCTCCTCCTTTTTCTTCCTTCTGCTTCCTCTCCCCACCCCCTCTTCTTCCCTCCTTTCACTTTTTTCTTCTCAGACTTTTTCTGTCCTTCCTCTCCCTTCCTACTCCATACCTCTTGATCTCTCATTTTTCTGTTAATATCATTCAACATCCTAATGTTGCAGTGTTTCAGGAGGAGGCAGTAGACAGCAATGAACTGGAAATTTGTGTTAAGCGAAAGAGACTTAAACAAGGGTGTTGGTGTTAGATTAATTGGCTGAAGAAACAAGAAGGATAGGGAACATCCACCAAAATCGAAATAAAATTGCTATTGGTGTTTGAAGAAAGGAACAACTGAAGGTATAGAGCACTGCAATAAAGTCAATTATTTAGGCAGTAGAAGAGTTGAAAAGGACGACTTCATGGAGATGGTTTGAGAATGTTTTTCTGGCTATGCAATTTGGTTGAAGTCTTATAGATTTTAGCTATGCACACAATCATTTGTTAATTGGCTAGTTCTGAAATATACCATATATATATATATATATATATATATATATCATTGCTTTTAAATTCAACCTATTTATTTAGATGAACTGATTATTCATTTTTCTAAAACTTATGTCATCATTACTGTATTGATTATTTAAGACAGTTCATTATTTAGTATTAAAAGTTTGATGCTCTTTTAAAGTTATGTTTAACTTACTTTTGGATATGTGTGATGTAATTAGGAAAATCTACTTCATTTGCAATCAGAACATTTAAAAGAGGATACAAACTTCAAAACTCTTATATTCCAGCTTCTTTGTGAAACAGTCAAATTGAACCTTGAAAAGGCCAACTGATTTTCTCTAGGTTACTACCAAAGTTAATAGCTAGTCAAAGCTATTGATTCTTCTCTGTAGTTGACAGAAACTCAAATAACAGAACCCACTGGCTGAAACCTTTTATGTAGCAGTGGTAAAGACTTTAACACTTTGGGTCCAGCATAACAGATTGCCTGTTGAGGCATATGCACTTCACAGTTTTCCATTAACAATGACATTAACAAATATTATGAAACAGTAACCCATGGAATGAAAGTAACTTTGTTACAAAAGCCACTGGTGATCTGTTTACACTAACTTTTTGAATCAGTAGTACTCATTAGTAGGCACTGATTATTTTTAAACTTTACTTGAAGAGCTTACTTAGTGAATTAGGTAAATCATTACAAATAATTAGAATTAGCACATTAGAGTCCTTAAGGACTTGATGGGGGAAAGTCTATCTTAGCAAAGTCTAGTCCCATGTTGCAGTTAATTGTATAAACTTTTATTTGCAGTTGTCAACAGATTCTAGAACCTACATTAAATTTAAGTGGAAAACATTGTCCTTTGCTTGTTATTTTCACTGAAATATGTTTACAGATATGTTGATTTATTGTATTATATCATGTTTTGGATCTGTCTAACCACATAAGCATCTATCAGTGCAAGTTTTCCAGACAACCTCTTAGGTTCTCTGTGAAGTCTGAGAACAAGAAGCTAGAAGTCTTGTTTTTGTATGGTTGTTTGTTTGTTTTATTTTTTAATATATTTTTGTGGGTTTCAATTTTGCTCACATTTAAGGTTATTCTTGATGTTGAAGCATAATAAATGTCATATTGAACGATATATGAAATACATTGGCCTAAAGTTTCCAGCTGAGTAACAAAGTTGCCTAAGAATATGAGAGAAAAGCTACTTTTTTAAAAATGATTTTTAATTGTTCTTACATTTCATACCCCCTGGATATTTTTAAATACAATTTCACTGTAGTTAATTTCAAATTCCCAGTTATTTGTTTAAGGAAAAATTGCTCTGGTAATTTGGTAGATCTTGGACTCCTTTGGACTGTATACAGTATAGTGCACAGATCATGTGGATGTTTTTCAAG